GTTCAGTACCGAGATGGGTGACCTCTAGGGAATATCAGGTGATCTAATCTTGGCTGTGCAGTACAGAGGTTACGGCGACATCACGTTCAAACAACCGTCTCCATACGATCAACAAAGTTAAGCAACGTTGAGCCTGGTCAATATCTGAATGGGCGACCGCTTGGTAATTCCAGGTGCTGTAAATTTGGATGTGCGGCTGGTGTAATGGATAGTGGCTTGGAATTGTTAATCAGGGAGTCGAATTCCAATTCTGTTTGCATTCGTTATGTTCACTCTCATGCAAATACCCTTGGGAAGGTATGAATCCACCTCTTCTCCCCCAGATATGGGTTAATTAGCACAGCTCTTATCGTTTAATCATTATTATCCCCAAAATATGTTAAACAGTCTTACAATATAAGTATTCTTTGACTATAAATAACCAACAATGGGTTGATAAGCCGTAAAAATGAATCAAGCAATTGATTCGAATGTAAGAAGTACCCACCTTTAATATAATTCATAACCATTTCTAAGGGATTTTTACTTTTCTGTTTTCTCAGCTTGTGGTTTAGATTCAAACCGTTTGTCTGAAAAATCAAATCATCGTTTTTTAAATCCTAAGGGGTCACCGTTCCTACCAATGTCAATTTTATACTCTTAATTAATATTCTATTAATTTGTAATCAATGACGTTTCAGTAATATACACTGGCCATCATCAAACCGGCAATCAATTTCGGTTCAATCAATCAATTTCGGTACTCGTTTTGGGTAGTTTTTGCCAACTAAATTTTATTTTATTCATTTGAGGATTCACTTTGGAAATGACAGTGATTAACTCTCATGTATGTCAACTGAATTACTTGTAAACTTTATTTCACATATGTTTTATTAACATTTCACTTTATTTTTATTTTTCCTTTATTAACCAGCATATACTGATTTATACTGGATTATCTTAGGGTTAGGATGAAGTGATAAGTTGCTGGATTAAATGTATTCTAATGTAACCTTTAGTAATCCATTAAAAAAAAACGTATACAGCATGTAGCTCCAGTGATATCGAATTAATAATCGTCCATCTATATCTGGTGAATTTCTTTGAAAAACGAAATGAAAGCAAGTCTTCTAAAATTTATTAATGTCTTCTGGATGGCTACAGATATTTTTTCACCCTATTTACATATTCATACCATATAGCTGGAGACTCAGTAACTGCAGAGCTTTTCAAATCTGCAGACCCCTTTTTCAATATCCTTACAGAGCACATCAACGTCGTTGTATAAAAAGACAAAAATTCTTTATTCAAATTTTTAATCTATTTCCAGTCTCGATTCTAGGATTTTGGAACAAAATTTTCGAGCACAATATGAGCCTAATCGTCATTTTCCCATTTCTTTGTATTTGCCGGCCTTGATGAAGATTTGCCTATCTTTAATATAAATCATCGCCATACCTATTAATACTCATTTACCAGCCTTGATTTTAGGCGATCTTTTGGGGATAGGGTATTTCCCTTCTTGGAACCTCTTTCCCGAAAACACGACGATGCAGGCCCAGCCCTAGTATCTCGCTATTTCCATGCCAAATGTTTAATTGCTACAAGAACTTCTATTTCGTGAAACAAACTCCCGCCTGGATGCTTCCCTGAATACTTCAATTTTGAACTCCTCATGTCAAGGATCAATAGTAATCTCCCTTATCTACATAATCCTCATTTTTTTTTTACCGCCGCCTGTTTCGTTCGTATCACATACAGCAATCAGCATTAAGATTTCGATTGTAACGCTTTCAGTCATTCTACTGGGTAAAAATTTGTAGAATGCAAAATAGTCTGAAACATAAAAATGCTTAAGCTTTTTTGGTTTAATTAGTTGAATGCGTTTCTGTATATGTGTATGTCTATTTCCTTATCAGCGACCCCAACGTTTTTTTTTTCTTTTTTTTTTTTTTTTAAGCATTTCATCCCAAGCAAGGCGGGAAGCCAATAGGACGCAAGGGTTTACAGAAAATTTAGAGCAAGATCAGATAGGAGTGATAGAAGAAAGGATGAGGGTAGTAGATAGATCAAGGCAACTGGAGATGTCGATTGACATTACACTTGAATAGCTGGAGATTATAGCTCACAGGGAAACAGGAATAGGGAAGGGAGTTCCACAGCGAGAGGTGCGAGACATGAAGCTATTGGAGTAGAAGAGACGGCTACATTTAGGAGTTTCGACAGTGAAGGGGTTGAGAGCGGGATGCCAGCCTCGTAAGGCGCTGGAACTCATGACGTCTGGGAACCAGCGAATGCAGCTCCTCGGAGAAATTTCCATGAAAGTATTTGTAGTGGTGAAACAGTTTTATACTTCAAAACATACTAACAGCTGACTGCGGGAGTGACCACATTCCAGCGATATGTAAGCTTTGAGTGAAACTGCGGGAATTAAAGAGAGCATCCAAATTGCAATACAACATACCCCTGACTGACCCGGATGTCAAGGAGAAATATATGGATAGTGTTAAAAGTAGATACAATGGTCAAAATAAGAATGAAAACTCGAAATGGACACGCTTAATACTCAAAGGATAGATTGAACGTAAGAGGATAGGAAATTGTGGAGAGCCATAATCGCTAATGTCCTGAAGAGGAACGATAAACGGAAGAATAATAAGAAAAAGTGGCACCAATAGACTAGATCAGTCAGACGATTTTTCTCGGGTCATTTTCATTATCTCGCTTTATTTTATTTGAGGAAGCACGGTGGAGTAATGGATAGCGGCTTGGATTGAAGAATCGGAGAACCGAGTTCGAATTCCAGTCGAATCCATTACATTCACTTACGTGCTAACACCCTTGGCAAAGGTATGAATCCTCTTTCTTCTCCCTCCAGCTATGGGTAAATAACAGGACAGACTGGGTTCTATAGCCTTGGATGGCAACTGGTCTAGGAGAAGGACAACTCTGAATTCAAAACCTGCGGAGGGTGAATGGAGTCTCACTTAGCCTTGGTTGGTAATCCATTTAGTGATGGTGTCACGATAAAAACACCCTCGATAGCCCTAGCGAAGCATCAAGAATTCAGCTATTTGACAAGATTACGAACTACACCAATCAAAGTATTAGCTATGACAGATAAGGAATACTGGTAGGTGTAGTGAGTTCAATCTCGGCTGAGGCCGCATGATGATGATTATTTACTTATTTTTCGGGACGTAGTAGTTGTCTTTGAGTTGTACATTCTGCCACTCGACCGACCCCGGAATGCATCTTGCACTCAGACATACACATCAATGCTTAAGAAGATCTCTGTAACACTTGATATTTACTGAGATTCTTGCAAAATGTTATAGAAACCCAAATTTGGTCAGCTGTCGTAAAGATCATAGAATTGTTTCAATTATAGCACAGAACTAAACGTCATGTATTCATAAGGTTCAATTAGAAAGGCTCAATACAAACTAACTCAGGTGAATCGATAACATCTGTTGAATCTTTTCCATAGCAAGGAAGTGAATTAAATTCTGATGAAAAGGATATGAAAATTCACTGAAATAAATCCTGGACTGTCTTGAATAAAATGGATGTAATCTTCCAGACAACCGCAAACGAGGTTTCTTTATCACCACTGTAATATCGGTTTTAATATATGATGTCACTGTTTGAACATTTACTAAAACCCTTGAGTCTAAGCTACACTCAGATGCTGAGAGCTAAAGTTAACATCTCTTGGGGAAAATATCCAACTAAATGAGAGCTCTATGAACCTATCCATGATATTACTACCATCCTACGCGAACGGAGAATGTACTTTGCAGAACACTGTTAGCGAGCAAATCAAGAACTTGTCAGTGGTCTACAATCTGGACATCTCGACGTGGGGCAAGATGGGCTGGTCGTCCAGAAACCAACTACATCGACCAGCTATATTATCATACAGAATATCACCCTAACGACCTTCCGTTCTTGATTCAGAACCGTGATGGTTGGCGTTATAGACTTGTAAATGTCCGAGCTAGCTCTAACGAATAAAATAAACAACATGAAGCCTATAGGCACACCGATTCAGTTTGCCATGTAACAATGAGCGTTAGTTATCTTTGTGGGTTTCCGTTGAATGATAAAATTGAAGCCTATACAATCTTCTAACTTTCTGATATGAGGCTAGGATTATGACACTCGCATAGAATGGGAAGGTCAATGATTTAAACTTGATTTGAAGTGTTTCCTGTTTTATGAACAGCAATAAAATCTATGGGGTGGCCCCTTCGAAGTGACCACCCATTTGACCAAAAATGAAGAAAATAATAGTTAAATAAATGAAAATATTTGAGATCAAGTGACAACAAAACGGATGTTGAGGACTTCCGACCATCGGCATAAATGGTTCTAGAGTTCCCCAAAAGAAAACATTTCTACGGTATTGCCTGTAAAACGCCTTTAAACTGATCTCATATTCGGTTGCGATGTGAGCGCACTGATAAATACCCCATTGCACTGTAGCATTAATCGTACAGAGGTTTCAAATCCCACCTTATACAGTCAGATGCGCGCTTGAGACTTATATAGAGATTTCAGTCTGTAAATACGTGGAGGCAGGGGGGGAGGTGCGAAACGAAAATTGAGAAACGAACAGAGAAATTAAATTTTGTTTATCTTTTATTTATTTATTTATCTTTTTCATCTCTCTCCAATTTCCTTTGCAATATGCACCTTCTCATCAGCTCTTAAATTAATTTCTTTTCCCGATTCTAACGCACGGATAATTCAGCTCCCTTTGACACGAGCCGCACGGCTTCCTGTGAACCAAAATATGCAAGTCGCAATATCGTCAAGAATCAAGGCTCACCAGAGATCGATTTGATTAGAAGCGTTCGATTAGCCGCTGTCTGAATAACGAGCAATGCTAGTAAAGATCAAACAACATTTATTCAGGAGAACGGTTTGTATTTAGATTTTTCTCCTCAATTCATTGCTTGGGATATGACACCATTGTCATTGCAGTTGAGGGCCAAGGATACAGAGTATCAGTTCGAAAAATATCCAGCCATGTCTCAATAACCGGTTGCGTGGTCTTA